AACTAAGCTTCTGCACGATCAAGTGTTCATTTCAAACTTCAGAACCTCGAACCTACTTGTTCGTCGGTTACCTAAGAATCCTGTATGGGTTTTATGACTTTATGATTTACAATAAGGACCTACTAAAAAGGAAGGTTAAGAACGGCAAGGAACATAAAGCGGCGCATTCCATTTCCTAACTGTCAGTACCCTACGCAGCCTGCAGCCAGATCCGGCACTCACATGGTCTTCTACCCCGACGGAGGCAAGTACACGGGCTGCAGCCTCAAGAGAGTTTTCTGCAAGGCTTGAAAAGCGAAATCTTGAAGCAGAGTTCCGTTCCATCTTGCCTGAAGCCCAGTTTTTGGAATTCTGCCGGTGCGACAAGCAAGTTCAGGCAAGATCCACCTTCACCGTAAGGGTGCGGTGCGCTCAGATGGACCCGGCATCAGACGAAGATCGATCGTCGCGTCCAACTGTCGTGAACGGATAAGGATTGCGTGCCTTCGGAATCGATGGATGACAGCGCTGCAGCTGCAGCAGGCACAAGCACTGCACAAGAATCAGCTGCATGTTAGTCACACATGCACGCTGGGGTCCACTTCGAAGAGCGGCTGCTTTCGGTGGCGGACTTTAATGCAAGTGCAGGCATTCAGGCCAATGGAACAAGAGGTAGATGCATTCGAGCACTGCTGCTGCAGCATGATGGCGTGGACAACTGGTTAGACTCTGACCTCTGCCTTAGATGCCAAACAAGCGAGCTCTCAGAATTGAAGGGCAAGCAAGCTCTTGATTCTCCATGTCGAATGGTTCCGCGCTAGTTAAGTTAATTCGGTTGGGCCGGCTGTTCAGCAGCCCGGCAACGACTTGGGACCCAAATGTACTAACTAGGGTACTGTGCACCTGAAAGACGTGGCGCAGGTCTCGGCAGACTTTCCACGCGCGGGTGCTCGGTCCGGGGTTGCATGTGGCCATAGGCAAACATCAGAAATCACAGGCATCGTGATTCATGGAAGAGAAGGGACGATTGGACAAACGGCTGCCAATGCAGCAGAACAGTTTGCAAGCTTACACGTTGTTCTGGAGAAGCGCTCTGGATGATGGTTTTAGGTATGTATATATATATATATATGTATGATTGTAAAAATGTATCTGTGTATACATACATAGCAGCATATCATTTTGCAGCGTTGAAAAAGAATATGTGTGTGTGTATATATATATACATATATATGTATAGATCTATTAAGTCCCACGCCTGGATAAATTCCACAAGTCACAATTTCGAGGCCGTGGAACATTGTGCCGGAGGGCCATGGGATCATGAAGGAACCTGACGGGAAGCTCTACGAAGGCCCCGGCTTCGTCCTATTTTTTTGCAAGTTAGGGTCAAGGGGTTATACATCAGGCAGTTTAGCCCCGGCTTCGTCAGATTTTCGCAAATTAGGGTGAAGGGGTTATATAGGGTTTAGGGTTCGGGGTGCTGAACTGGCCGCAGTCCAGCATCGTTCTTGGTCTGGATGCAAAGAGGGTTCAGCGTAGTATGAGAGTACAGTAGCATGGTATCAACATCGACATGTGGCACACAAGCCAGCCGTGTTGCAGCGAGAGGACACTTTCATTGTGGAGCGCCCCATGGGCGTGGATATTCCCTCAGCCTGGGATCCAAATACGAAGGCGGGGAGGGGGCGAGCACAGAAGGATAGAAAGCCATATTATATGGGGGGTTTACGAAAGTAGGGGGGGCCCAATATCGACAACACATAGAAGGATTCCCATATAATATACTATTAATACTATTCTTTCTACTCTATTTAGAAACTATAATAAGGACCCATATCAGGTAGACTGGTAGTTATGTGAGGACGAATCGGAGTTGCTTGAAGGGTTGAGGGTTTCAGGGTTTTGGGGCAAAGGGTTTTGGGGTTTAGGGTTTTGGGATTTTCCGAGTTTTAGGGTTCAGGGTAAAAATTGCTTTTAGGCTTATAGGGCTTATGGCTTTTAGGGTTTACAGGATTTAGAGGGTTTAAGGGTTTAGGGTTCAATGAATTATGATGCCACGACAGGCCTGACATTGACTGAGCGCCTGTGAGAGAGAGAGGGTTCAATGAATAAGGAGAGAACTCGATTGCATGTCCCTGGTGAGGTGAATTTGCTTGTGGCGAGCGGCATGGATCTGGATGGTGGCGCGCGCAGTCGAAGATAGTTAGTTCACGCACCAAACTGGGTACCCATTGTTATGTAGTCTTCCATATTTTGCCTGTCACATATATAAATATAAATATAATAATATATATATATATATATAGATAGGTATTTTCCATGGTAGCACAAAAAAAATATATATATATATATATATATATATATGTGTGTGTGTATATATATATACTCGCGTATAACCCAAAGACTACCCCAACTGCACACATGTGGCTTCGTGGCCTGCTGAGGCTGCAAAGCGCTCCCGACCAGCGAGAGCCCACGAAACGGGCTCAGAAATGGTTTAGGGTTTAGGGTTTAGGGTTTAGGGTTTAGGGTTTAGGGTTTAGGGTTTAGGACCTGAAGCAACAAAAACCCACTGATTCTTGGTAGGGAATGAGGGAATTACCTTGCATCCCCCCTATATATATATATACAGATAGATAGATATACCTTTTCAAGGATAAGTGCCTAGTTCCCTCATTCCTATTGAGAACCGGTTAGACCTGCAACATGTCTGAAAGTGCACCTCCGAATCCAATCACGAACCTAACCCCGAACTAGTTCGGTGTAAGGTTTCGGGTTGAGTCTTGCAGCGGTTTCCCGACAAACTGTGGCGACATATGGCGACATCTCCATGCTGAAAGCGTTAGTTCTCCAAGCCACTCGACTATTTGCAGAGCTCGGAGTGCGCCATTCATCACCCCCCAAGTCATACGTCATGAGCACAGTTGAGAGAGGACTTTTGGGAATCTTCCTAGCCAGAGGTTGGCCAGATGACAACAGTCTCATCCAGTCTACAAGTAATACTGTTGGGTTCCAGAGTCGGGTTTTACGTTTGGATTTTGCGTCCACTGGAAGCATGAAACGAGCCAGTTCGGTTCCAGGTTGTCGCAATCCTACATCAGGTACTAGCTATCAACTTGCGACCATGACCCGGGGACAAGTCAGTTTGGCTTACTTCATCAGCGAAGTGAAAGCCAGGAACTAAACCCCTAGGCCCTGAACCCCATGCAAGCCCCCTGATCCCAAGCCCCAAAGTGGCTTCGAGGCCGGTCCACTACGAGCGCGGAGAGTCCAGAAACCCGGAGATGTGCTTGTGCGTGGAGCGTTGGCGAGCTCATGTGGGGGGTTTTCGATATTAGGTGGACCTGATTGCGGTCCTTGTCGTTTAAATGGGTGGTTGTCAAAATTAGGGCCCCTTTTTGGATCCCGATTATAATACGGCACCTAAGATTTAGGGTACCCCAAAATCGGACCTTTTTTTGTGACAACCACCCAAATGTCGCTTCTTCGGGATGGCATGTTGAGGTTGACGCCTCAGCCAGCTGAGCAGGCCGGAGCCCTCCTCAGTGGGTCTAGGGTTTTGGGTTTAGGGCTTAGGATTCTAGGGTTTAGGGTTTTGGGTTTAGGGTTTAGGGCTTAGGGTTTTAGGGTTTAGGGTTTGGGGATGTTTAGGGTGGCTCATGAAAGGTTCGTGTGTTAAGAGGTCCGTCAGCATAGAAGGCCCCGACCAGATGACTGAATAGAAGCTGATGTTGAAAAAGTACCCCCTCGACCCTGCGTGAGATTAGAAACCCTGAACCCTGAAAAGACTCGAAGAGCTTGTGCAGACAGGCCTTTCTACCAGCGAAGGGTACCTCCGGCCTCCAGGACGAAGGTGCCGTGCGCACCTCTTCGGGTTTAGGGTTTAGGGTTTATTGTTTAGGGTAGGCAACATTCTTTGCTTGACCTGGACCATCCATGCGTTTGGGGCTTATGTCAGAGGCTGTGCACAGCAATAGGGGTTTTGTCTCTCCTCTGAATCGTTCCTCAGTGAATCAGCGCATGATTGTCCAGGATATGGCGCAGACCCGGCAGAAGCCCCCGCACAGACAGAGCTCGAAGACGGTCAGAAAAGGGTCCGATGCAGATCATAGAAAGGGGGGGAGGATTCTGAGAGCAGCGCAGCTTGCATGCGCTCATCGTAAAGTTTGTTTGAAACCCCTTGGCATCGAGTTGGTATGTGATGTCAGCACGAGATGCAGGATTGTGCTGCAGTAGGGCAGTTGAAATTCTGAGCCTGTGCATGGGCGAGCATCATGCACAAATCCATTGAAACTCGAATTGGCCCCAAGAGTTCACGCGGAACAGCGGGATCTGGGGTGCAGCTGCGTGGCTCACATGTTTGGTATGCAGAGGACAAGCAGACCACAGAATACTGCAAAACACAATCTGCACATACCTGCACAGTGCACCGACGATTTTAAAATACCTAAGCCCAAAAATCCTTAAACCCCACACATCTTCACCGCTTGGACAGGGCAGTGGCTCCCAGTCAATGCGAATTGTGATGTTGGCAGCTCCTCCGAGGCGTCGGTCTGGGATCGGAACGATTTGTTTTCCCTGGGTTCTGAGCTTTTGAACCCTAAATCAGCCAACATCATGACCGCAATCACCTCAAAGGTTTATGCAAAACTCCAGGTAAGACCTTGCAGGGGTTTTGCTTTCGGACGAGCATCTTGATTTCAAAATCTGCCAACTGGAGCCTTTGGACCCTTCTGCTACTGCTGCTACTCCTAGTAGAAACACTAACGATGACACTGACGCTCGCTCTCACACTAACACTAGCACTAGCACCAGCGCTTTGTCCTAAGGCCTGAGCTTCAGCGTCTGAGCTTACAACCATCTTGAAGTCTACTAAGCTACTTAAATAAGCTTTTCTTGCACCATAATCAACCCTGTTCTGTTGGCATCCTACACCACAGTTGACGAACGAACATATCGCGTGGCCCTCCGCAGCCGCTTCTTCGGTAGAGCGTTTCTGGTAGGCGGTGTGCCATCTCATGGCTCCAAGCGGTGCCAGGCAGCGATCCTGGGATGCGGACATTGAGAAGATCCAGTCGGAATATCTTCCTCATTTGACATGCTTGACAGAGTACGAACTTGCGAGTGGCCATCGCAAAGAGCAGCTTGACAAGGCATATGGTCCAAGCGCAGCTATTGAGATCACCAAGTTTCATTTGGATTTTGATGACTTCCCTGTTGGTATGCCCGATGACTTGAAGAAGGTCTACCTCGAGGCCTTCAAAGCTGGATACATCATCGCACGCACCCAGCCATGGTTGAAGGCAAAGTGGATGCGGGATGACTACATTCCAATGGCGAGGATGAAGTATTATGGCAATCAGGGAAGCCAAGAGCACGTACAGGAGGTCCTCCGTCGCACGCACGGGTACCCTTGGCACTTGGCCCCCCCAAGTGACGAAGCTGTGATAGACTGGCGGGAGCAATGCGACGACGATCAGTTCAAGAAGTCCATGGGTTATGGCACACAGCAGATCTCGAACTTCAGCAACTTCCCTGGAAGGAAGGATGTGCTGACCTGGGGCACCACGCACGTCGCAGTTGGGTTTAACGACCTGATCGTGCTCCTCAAGTCCCGGCTGGTTGCAGATGGCTCTTCCCCGGAACACATTGACGCAACAACTTCGAAGACATCCTTGAAGTTCATCGGCATTGACAGCAGCGCCTATTCCATTGCTAAGACAAAGGTGGTTTGGCAGATGATGATGGACAGTTCCATTCCCATCTGCTCGATTATTGAAGTCTGGTTCTCGGCTACTTGGGGCAGGTCAAGCCTCGAAGCTTTTGGTAAGGCCTTGAACCACGTTGTGTCGGAGATGAAGATCAAGTCTAGGCCTCTGCAGTCTCCGTGCAGTTATCCTATTCTTGAAGGGCGCGGCATTACCGTGCGTGGACTTCAGAGTGAGAAAGGTCAAAAGCTGAACGGCCAGCGAGGTATCGCCCGATCCTGCGCCGAGGGTCGCTGGGATGTCTACGGCGACGGTTGGCAAGCGAAGGTCAAGGCGGAGAACTTAGAGCCACTGGAGATGACTGTCGCTGTAGGCAGCTCTGTGGAAATTCATGGTTTGGTGAAGTTGCCGGAGCTGAACGGGCATGTTGGGACGGCAGTGCGTCTTGACGCCGCCTCAGGACGCTGGATGGTGCTAGTCGACTCCCGGGAGCAGCCCGTGTTGATCCGTGAGGCGAACCTTTCTTGGACAGGCATGGCTCAAGAGTCGGCCCATCCCTACCTGCAGGAGGTCCGGCCTGTTGCAGACTACTTGCTGTATTGGTTGCGCTGCTTCGAGGAGAAACGGCATCACACAGTGGAGGAGGCAAGACGGTTCTGGTGGAAAGCGCAGATCAGTGAGCTCCCAGAACGAGAGACGCACATTGCAGGGTGCCTCTGCCGCAAGAAGGACCAGAGAGCCACCTTGAAGTACCTGTGCTCTGGTGACGTGTTCCTGGATCAAACCGCTGCTGCTGGGGATGTTTGCAGCGATTGCACACCCTATGTTGGGAGCCTGTGCATGTGGAGCCTGCCTGAAGCTTCGCCCAGCCTGGAAAAGGGACTCGCGCTGGGCTGCATCACCACGGAGGACTATTGCCGCACATTGCTGGGTGAAGCGGGTGAGGCCGTGGAGCCAGACTTCTCCGTACAGGCCCTAGAATCGTCTCCGAACAAGGAATTCGACGTCATGCAGTGCTTCACATGGTACATTGCAAAGCGGATACAGCATACCGTCCGTCGGAGTGGATCAACTTGGACAGGAGATTTCATTTGTCAGAGAGTTTGTTGGGAGAATCGGGCTCTCTTAGACAGGATATGGAAAGAAGCCCCCTTCACCATGAGCTGGGACAACATACTGGACTACATGAAGCCTACTACCTTCCACAGCATCGCCCGACTGTGTTCGCGAGCAGGTGATACCGTGCATTATGCATACAGCATGAACTACCCATGTGAGACCCGTGGAGCCAACATCATGGACTGGGACATGCAGGCCGATCCGAATGATCGACAATCTCGGGTATACTGGGTTGATAGAAGTATGGAACGGTCCATCCGTGGAGGGTGCCAGCATTCTATGGAACGCCTCTGCAGGATTTGGGACTTTGCTTGCGATGCCCTGTACACCAAGCCCTATCGCTGCGACCCAGAGAATCTGATCAACTACACACTCATCGCGTCTCTTGGCCTGGATGAGAAGTGGGTGAATCACTTTATGAACAAGGGCAAGATCTCCCCGAAGGATGTGCCGCGGCACCCAGAGTGCACGAAGAACAATGTGGGCCTCGCAGTGTTCTCTTCCCTCATGGGTCTTGAAAGCCCCTTCCAGCGAAGCTCCACCTGCGTGACCTTTGCCTGGACGTATGACCCCATGATCCGAGGAGTCGACTTCGCGACTGGGAAGGAATGCCAGTAGATTCCACCCAGCAGCAGTGCTGCCCCAAACAGTTCAAGAGAGGCTTCCAGGGTTCTCTATGCCCTTTCTCCGGCGTAACGGTTAGCACCTCGTCACTTTCTGCTGGCAGATGTCGGGCTCCCTGCCAAGTCAGACCGAGTGCTGCGCTATGCTTTGGGCAGGGGGGTCCTTGCAGCTGACCGAAGGTTTGACTTCGCTGCATTCTGCAGCCGAAATCCTGGCCGATGTGGGCCGACATGCAAGAAGTGATAAGTTGGGAGGGCGATGGAGGGCAATGTCATGCATCAGTGCGCACGAACTCCTGTTCAAGCCCCCGTAGATCTCGACAGTTTACCCCTGCTGAAAATACAGTGCTCTTTTCATGTACGTACGCGCTCACAAACCTGCCAGGCGTGCGCAGTTCCCCCGCTGTTGGAGGCGTGACAAGATGCTGTCGAGGCTGGGGGAGTTGCATGCCATCGCATGGCACCAGTGCAGGCAGCCGTACTGCCTGCCTTGAGATGGCATTGATTTGTGTGCCTATCGTCCGCTTCTCTGTTCATGAGTGTTTTCTGGTTGTCCAAGTCCTCAAGCTGGATGCTTCAAGCTAAATACCTCCCTGCCTGCATCGATTTCAAGATGTCGTTGTCCTTGATTCGCGTTTCGCTTTCGCCTTGTGGCGGAAGGGGCAGCCGTAGTGCTCAAGACCCTTCATGCCAGGTAGTATCTGCACAACTGAAGCTGCAGCCACTGAGATGCCAGAGGTTCAGAAGATCCCGTCAGAACCCGTGGAGAAACTTCCTTGGTCCTGGCGATACCTGTCTGTGTGCATTGTTTTCCCTGTGGTTGCCGGGGGAATCAATGTTTTCCTTTACTCAGGCCTCTCGCTCTACTACCGAGAGATGGGGTGGGAGTTGTGGATCACGGGGGTGGTCGTCAGCGTCGGATCCCTCGGGAGAATCTTCTTCCAGCAGTTGCAGTTGCATCTTGGATTGTGGACGGCAGCACCAATGGCAGGTGTTCATCTGCTTCTGGCGATCCTCGTCACCATCTACCCAGACAAGCTCTGGGCTCTGGTTGGCCAATCCCTGGCGGTCATCCTGTTTGACACGAATCTGGGTCATTGTTGAAAATGATTCTACATTGTTATGAGTACTTAAACCCAAGAAGGAACACACATACTGTTACTAATTTTTTGAAAGTAAAGAAGGAACAAAACTAACTATTTTTTAAGAGTACCCCAACAATGGTGCAGGAATGCCTTGATGGAGGCCATTTGCTTTGAAGTCTTCTCCGATTCCGAGGCCATCGCGCGCCAAGCGGCAGCCGCCATGCTTTCCAGCTACACCGTTTCTGGGTCATTGCTCAAAATCACTTTTTCATTGCTATGTATACTTAAACCCAATACGGAGCAAAGATGGCTACTTTTCAGAGTGCCCCAACAACGGTGCAGGTTTCTTATGCTTGTTCCGCCACTTACGGCGGAATCATCTACGACCTTTGGAGTTGGAACGGCGTAGCCTGGTATCACAGCATTGCTGCATCGCTCAACTTGTTGCTCATCGTGACGATGCCCCCAGTACGAAGTTCGTGGAGGAAGCTTCGAGCACAGGGTGTGGAAGCCAGCTCGCAAGATCTCAAAGCGACACGCCAGCGGGCCGGTTCTGCCCAAAGCGACGACTCTTGGTCTGGCAGCTTTCATGCGCACTTGCCGCCACCTGAGCCTGTGGAGTTCTTGAATCGCACGGTGCCATCCGAGCAGGAGCTGGCCACCAACATTGTCGCAGACGGGCAAGTGAAGATCACGGAGTTGGAGTTGGAGGTAGAGCCTCCGGTACCTGAGACCCCGAAGAAGACCAAAAGCAGCAAGATCCCAGCCAATACCAGAATGCCGGCATTCATGGTTTTCCTGAATGGCTTCATGAACAACTATAATTACGGCACAGTTTGGCTAACCTATGCCATCTTCTTCAAAGAACACCATGGCTGGAACGAAGCAACTTGGGCTGGCATCAGCCAGACAAGCGGTGACCTCCTTGCCGCCATCATGATCGCTTTGCCTTTGAAGCGCAAGATGGTGGACCCGAAGGAAATGAAAGGCATGCGTTGGCTTTGGTACTCCACAACGGGCCAGCCCTACAACGTAAGCTGCTTGATGGTGGCATGGCGATCTTGTGCTTGGGGATGGCCAACTCACTGTTGCCGGTGTCGATTGCAGCGCAGGTGTTGATGGGAACGGTTTACACCTACTGCATCAAAGCTAACACCGACCTCAGCGTTTTCTACTCCTTGGGCTCTGCGGAAACGTTCTTAGCGATGCAAACCTTGGGCCGCAATGCGGAGTCGTTCGGTGCCTTTCTCGCTTGCTTGGTAGCGATGCCGCTCTACGAATCGGTTCATCCAGCCGCTCCCTTTCTCGCATGTGCAGGACTGTCCTTCCTCACGCAGCTGCTGTACACAACGTGCTTCTGCCGGAGGCTTGGCTTCGGGCGGAACATTGATGCAGCAGAGGAGGCCCGATGCCAGCGCCTGAAGATAGCTCGCACGACTTCCTGGGGAGCGTCGAGAGAGGAATGAGTCAGTCACCCATGTAGTGCTACTTGCACAGCGCTCTGAATGCAAGTGCGTTTGGCACGAGCAAGTATGAGCAAGTATCTTCCAGTGCATCGCAACGAAACATGGTAGAACATACCATGTCAAGGATCGATTACGTTCCTGCTGCGAGCACGAAGTTTCCTTCTCGAGAGCTGCAACGCCCCACGAGCTACACACCGCACACGCGGCTGTGCGAGGGCTCGCGGATCGCCTGCTTAGGTTCAAATGGGAGCCATGCCGGAGCCTGCAACTGCGCGGAAACGATGCCGGAGGCCCTGAGGATATTCTTTCCTGGCAACGTGAGCCAGGCAAGCGCAGCCTCACTTACTACCTAGCCAGGTTGTTGCGGGCGTGAGTCTGGCCAGTAAGGTGGCCAAGACTGAGGACAGGGCCCATCAGATCGTTTCCTGCAGAGGGTGCTGGCTCAGCAAGCTGAGCCAGCAAGGTTCACCCCACCCAGAGAGCCCAATACCCCTTGATGAAAATAACAATGTACCTTAAATGATACGAGCATCCTTCATATGGTTTAAGGTATATTCCTGATTTAAGGGGTGCTTGGCTCTTTGGGCATCCCTGGTTGCCATGGCGTGGCATGGAGACGGCTCGGCCATAACGCCTGCAGATCTCCTGAAACAAAATCTGATTGATTCAAGGAATTTCAATCAAAGTGTCGTTTAGAATACCTAGCCCGCAACAGCCACTCCATCATCCAAGCGTAAACTTGGCGTAAACCCCGGCATGGGGTTGGGCTGGACCACTGAACGTCGGCAGTCGGCACAACACACACACACACACACACCCACACCCTGCGTGGTGATGGTGGTTCAGCGTTGTTTCATTGCATGCTTCGACTGCTGCCGGGCCAAAGACCCAAGGCCCACGCTACGCGACCCGCCTCGGCCGAGGCCTGCGCAGCCGCGACGATTGACCAGGTGGGGGTGGGTTGGAGGGGGTTGGGGGGGTTCGCGCCGAAGCAGCATCCCATCACACCGAAGCAAGCACAGCACGGATCACAAGCAACGAGCCGGGCAGTCCCGCCACAACATCGGGCAGACGCAACGCGGGGCATGGCGGGGGAAGGACAGGGGGAAGCACGCTGGGGCAGCACCTGGAACGCTCCACCAAGAGCCACACCCCTTTACTTGGGACCTTTTGGCCTGGAATGGGGCTTTGGGGGTGGGGGGCCGCTGGCCCTGTTGGGGAGGGGATTAGAGACGGCGTGTGCTACCATACACCTACGGCCCGAGGATGCCCGAAGCCTCGGCGGATTTGTGAACCACATCAGGCGTATGTTCAGGAAGCCGTTGTTTCCGGACCGGTGGGAAGTTTGTCCTTTGAGAGCACCATCACCAGGCTTCATGCGCACCTCTTTCCATTTGCCACCTGTCCTTGGAAAGCGCACTTTGGCTCTGCCACGAAACAACTAGCTTGCGATTGTCGTTTGATTGCTTCATCTCAATGACGCTGCTTCGCCAGTGTGCAGTATTGGTCCTTCTCTCCCGCGCAGCGCTGGGGTACCGATCCTCATCGGCTCTTGATCGGACCTCGCTTTCAGAGGCAACCTCGGATTTGGAAGAAGGTGAGGGCGTGAACGACTACCCTCGAGCCGAAGAGTTCCCTGACACCTGGCTTGACAAGGACAACTACGAGAAGCTTCTTGAGTCGACGAAGTCCAAGATTGAAGAGCTGAAGCACGCCGGAGGGGAAACCTCTCCGGAGGAAGCGAAGCAGCTCCTCAAGGTGACTTGTGTCATGAAAGGAACTGTGTGTGTTTATAAGGTGTGCTCATCATGGCTCCCCTTTAGGGTCATATTCAACATACACATCTACATCCATACATACATACATACCATACATACCATACATACCATACATACCATACATACCATACATACCATACATACCATACATACCATACATACCATACATACCATACATACCATACATACCATACATACCATACATACCATACATACCATACATACCATACATACCATACATACATACATACAGAACCCCCCCCCCCCCCATGAGCCCTAAATCAAGTTGCAGGACCTTTGGCTGCTGACAGAGCAGAGGTTGGCCGACACCACGCCCTACTCTTGCTTCAACCTCTGCCTGATGTGTGAGCCTTCAGAGGCAGACCTGGCCATTGGGAAGCTGAAACCCTAAACCCTAAGCCATAAACCCTAAACCCTAAACCCTAAACCCTAAACCCTAAACCCTAAACCCTAAACCCTTTCAGAGGCAGACCTGGCCATTGGGAAGCTCAAGACCATCAAAATCTCGCGGTCGAAGTCTTACTGGGACAAGGCGAAGATGACCCTCGTTGGCCCAGCAGATGCCACTGCTGGCCTCCTCAGTGGCGTGGTGGCGGGACTGCTGACTGGGGGCGCGGTGGGCGTTGGTGTTGCTTAGGGGTACTTGGAAATAGTTCTTAATTTTGGGTACTATATAATTCCTAAGATACAACAAAAAGTAATTTGTTAGGGATCCTATATTCAGTATAGGTTGGAACAAGTGTTGATGACGACGTTGGCGGCGGCTTCGCGGGCTTCATGGCGGGGTCGGTGAGCGGCATCATCTCAGGGGCTGTGACCTTGGCCTTCGCGGAGGCAGTCCTTCCCTTTCTTGGGGCCAGGATGGGTGCGGGCCTTACCGCCGCATACACCAACTGCGGCCGAGTGGGTTTCAAGATGGCCGAGCGTGGTATCTACGCCGAGGACCAGCCGTTCCTGAACCAGAAGATGTCCCCCACCTATGGCTTGAAGCTGCTGCGCGAGGCCATGCACTACAACAAGTCTTGGTTCAATGACCATCCCATGACGAGCACCTCGGGCAGACCTGCGCCTCTCCGTGAGGCCACCAGCGGCACAGACTACCAGGCCATCTCTCACTGTGAATACCTTCGCCTGCGGCCCTTCGACATCCGCCATGCAATCATGTGCGCTCAGCACTCCATGCTTTGCGGACGTCGGGGTGGCCTGCTGATCCCCACGACGGGCGACAGTCAATGTGCCGCCGCTTCCAGCGGATCCCAATCTGGCACGTTGTTTGCTGACAGCAAGGAAAAAGTGGAATGTGTGAAGCTCCTTTGCTCCTACGGCGGGTACAAGAAAGGTGCCCTGCTAGCGCATCCGGACAGACTCCTACACATGCCTGAGGAGGAGAAGCTGGCCAAAACTGAGGACCGGGATTTTGCATGCTCTAGCGATATCTAGGGAGATGCAAAAGTTCTGCTTGCCCAAAGAATGGCCTCGACCCCACAAGCCTCGATAAGACTGCGCCGCAGTTGCCTCGCGACTTGACGATTGCGTAAGGGCTAACGTGACCCCGAGGATTTCAAGAAGATGGTCAACTGCAAGGACAAGTTCCAGCTCACGCTGAATTCCGCGGAGGAGCGAGAGGTGGAGTGCCAGAAGCTGGCTCAGTGATGCTAGGAGTAGGAGCTTGGGACCAATCAAGGCATGCAGCACCAAGCCGTGGAATCAAAAGTGCTTGCGACGTACACTGGCTTCTTACCCACCAGAAGGTGGTAAGCCCGAAACCTAAACCCTAAAAAACATGCCCTAACCCGCCCGCCTTGGCTTTTGACAGCAATGTGCTCTTGAAGCATTAGGCTGTAGGATATAGAATCTCAGAGGGCGACGCTGCTACGGTTGTTGTATGTTCCTGAGCCCAAGGGCTCTCAACACCCAGGGTTTAGGGTTTAGGGTTTAGGGGTCACTGAAATCCTCAAAAAGTCTGTAGCGTCGTTGTGATTTGTAAATTAAAGGGGCATCATAATATCAGAGGGTTTATTCTGGATATTAATCGCCTTCCATATTTCCTTTTCCCCTTCGTGCGGCCATAATACTTCCAATCTTGAAAACATTTTTTAAATCAATAAGTTGAGAAGGAAATCCATTTTTTGAAGAAGGGAAAATGTTTGATGATACAAGAGGTTATGGCCAAGTAAATATTGAAATATGGCTTGTTTCGTACCTAATGTAGGGGCTTGGGCCGAGGCTTTACGAGATTGGGTCATCGTCACATAAAAAATGGAAAAATTGGTTAGCAGTTAGCAGTGAAATGAATATCTCTGTATATATATATATTATATCTGTGAAAGTATGGGAGTTTTGTGGAAGAGTCTTGAAATATTGTTTTCCTTTTGGATTCTGTAGTTCTTCAACAACGAAAAAAGGCAGAGAACGTGCACGCCCACAGTCCCCCGTTTTGTTTATATATATATATATATAGTTTATTGCTAGCACCCAGGATCAGAGAAGCGTGTTCACAGTAGGTCACCTCAGGTCAACACAAAGATTCGACATGATGAACTAGACAGCAGGAATTCATGCGCAGAGTCGACAGGTTCCCACCTACCCTAGATATGAGGTGCCGTATTATAATAGGGATCCAAAAAAACGACCATAATTTTGACTGACAACCACCCACATGTGTAGTGTTATTGCCAGCCCGGCTCACCCTCACTCCGGCCGGCCATGTGGCCTTTCCACTTGCTGTTCACGATTCAGCTGGTGGCCGGCGAAACGCATTCCTGGTGCCAGCCGGGTGCTGGGAGCTGCGTAGGGCATGCTCGTCGATTTGAAAAGCAATCAACATCACTCCCATGCGTGGACAAGGATTTTCCTCAATTGCAGTTCGCAGATTGGGATGGAGACGGAGACGTAGACGTGTTGGTTGCGTATACTACCATGTATACCTCAAATTGGCTTCACACAGACACTTGTGGTCTTAATCAGAAATCTTTCACAACTTTTTGGCTTGACCTTTCAAGAGACTGCCAGCTCGCACTGGACCCTTATAAACCCTATAAACCTTATATGCTATAAACCCTATAAACCTTAAAAGGTTGATAAATCTTATAAACCCTATAAACCCTAAACCGTTTGCTTTTGGGTGGTTAAACGCAGCAGGCTCCAGATCCAAACTCAACTTGGCCGCACGGCGTCGTCCTCTATGAGCGCTTGCTGAATCTAGGGCAGTCCCTTGGGATATTTTTGTTCTTTTGCCTTTTGGGTTTAAGAGGCTCTTGCATAGGATTTGTTCAGAGGGTTTTGAGGGCGAACCCAGGAATGACACTTTCCAATCGCATGAATTGCTTGGCGCCAGACTCTCCGGGCGAATTGACTTTGAAGTGGTTGATTGGGATGGCACTGGGCTGTTGGATGTGTTGCTTTGCACCTAGGATGCTCAGTAGTACCCTGGTTCCCTTTTCAGGTGGTTCTTTTCCCTGACCCCTATTAAGCAGAAGAGTGCCTGTTTTCTCCTAGGCTACTGGGGAAGCTAGGCACTGAGATGAGTGGCTCAGTCAACATATTCTTGCTACGGCACTCTGTGTTGCCGCTGATAGATGCCGGCTTGGACGACATGGAGTTGCTGGTTCACGTCAACGGGTCCACATGTCAGGGGAACGGCTGGAAAGTATTGCAAGCCGTAGACTTCGATGAAGACGGAGATGTGGATCTCTTTGTTCAGCAAAGGTATTTTGAGCGCACTTCGAAAGCAGGTTTGATCGAAAGAACTGGGGATGAGAATCCTATCAACATCTTCGGCGGCGACATGGCTGTAGTTGCTGACGTGGACGGTGATGGGCGCTTGGAAGTGTTGGTGAAGGGTTGCTGGGCTGTCTTCTGGTTGGCTGTTGAGACTTTTTTTTGGACTGTCTTTCCTTTGTATGCAAATGCCTCACGCAAGAAGTCAAGAGTTCTCTTTTGAGAAGGGGTCAGAAGTTATCCGAGGTTCGATCATCTGGAGTGGGGGCCCCGGAATGACGCAAGGCCTTCGCTACTTTCGGCGCGCGCAGGACAACAGTTTCGTGGAGCCTGCTGAGAACCCCGTTGCCGACTTTAGCTTCTACAACGGGGAGTCTGGCCAGGAAAGAGGTTTTGTTGTTGACTGGAATTCCGATGGCTTGCCAGATCTTCTGGTTGTAGAATTCAGAAATATGCCACCGCAAGCTATGCGGTGCAGTTATCAGGGCGATTATGATTACTATCAGCATGTCCTCAAAGGTGATCTCATGCACAATTCTCTGATGGACATCTATGAGGATGTTGATGTAGGCGGCCACAGTCGTGATGATTTGGATTTCGCGCGGCTCACCATCGTTGACTGGAACAGAGATGGCTTCTTGGATCTCTTGATGAGCTACAACCGACACCAGTCACAGCCGAGGCTGTTTGAGAATCGCCGTGAGAGAATGAACGAAGTCATTTCGGCTTTTGAGAACGTCACGGCCACATCTTTGGAGCCTCACACGGGTCCCAATAATTTCCCAAATGGTTACAGGCTGGCGGTTGCAGACTTTGATGGAGACGGCGAGGTAGATGTCCTCATTGCCAGCGAGGCTGATGGAAAGCTACACTACCATCGCCAGGTTTCAGGTCGTCTCCAAGCAGAGGAGCAGCAGAATCCATTTCGCAATATTACCGTCCCACTATGGTGGGACACGTTCTCGCAGCAGAACTACTATCATTTGGTGGAGCCCATCTTCCTGGATTGGGACAACGACGGTGACATGGATCTGCTTCTTGGAGCTCCTGATGGGCGGATTTTTGAGCAGACAGCCGATGGACGCTTGGAGGAGTGGCCTCTGGAGCAGAGCCCGGTCAGGAGCTTCTTGGATGAATTGAGAGAGCTCAAGTGGGGCCTGGCTGACCAAACTAATCGCTTCAGAATGATGGAGAGTACTTGGAAGTTTGTGGATTGTGATGTCGATGGGGACCTCGATCTGCTCCGATTTGGGTATGCCAAAGATGGAACGTGGCACTCGCGACTGCAGGCCTGTGAGCATGACGGCACCCATGCCTTGCGATGCGATGATGACTTTCTGTGCTTGGGAGCGAATCTCAGCAATTTCCGGACAGAGGGGTTCGGTGAGGTGATGTCTTTCGACCTGGGGAATGTGACCGATGGGCGCCTGCAGCTGATCACATCTCATAGATACAGCAAGGGCGCGGTGCTTTGGAGTGGAGGCTTTTGTGCTCCTCAAAACCCCTGCAATGAGAAGGGCCTATGCACGACCAGACAGATTGACTGCAGCTGCGTTTCAGGTCACGAGATGGCGGATTGTTCAGGCTGCAAGCCAGACTTTTACAGTGCGCAGCGGCAGCTAGGACAGCTGCATAGTTGCATTGCCTGCCCTGGTGCAGGTGGGAAGGTTTGTCATGGTCGAGGTTTATGCTTCGATGATGCTACTGCGAGGCATGCCCCACAGGAATCCACAGCAGCTTTGACCGCGCAGGGCAACGGCACCTGTCGTTGCCATGAGGTGCATTTTTCCGGCCATGACAGCAAGGGTCGAGAGAACTGCGTCGAGGGCAGCTGCCCAGCTGGCACAGAAGAGAGGAATGGCAGGTGTGATCCCTGTAATGCTGGTGCGACCTCAGTGTCTGGTGGCTTTTGCAAGAATTGCTTGCCTGGGAGGTTCTCGCTTTCGGGAAGTGCGAGCTGTCTGAGGTGTCCTTCAGGGAGCACTGCGCAAGCTTCTGGGGCTTCGGCATGTCTAACTTGCCCCGCAGGAAGGTATGAGCTTCAGCAGCAGTTCTGCAATGAGTGCCCCCCTGGGTTCATCTCGTCCATGGGGCAAAGCTCTTGTGCAAAATGCCCGGCTGGTTTCATGGCAGATAAACCTGGAAGCAGCGCCTGTGTTCCATGCGCAGGAGGCTTTTTCTCTGAAGAGGGTAGTGCAAAATGCAGTGAGTGCCCCCCTGGGTTCATCTCGTCCATGGGGAACAGCTCTTGTGCTAAATGCCCGGCTGGGTTCATGGCAGATAAACCTGGAAGCATCGCCTGTGTTCCATGCCCCGGAGGCTTCTTCTCTGAAGAGGCGAGTGCACAATGCATCGCCTGTCCTTCGGGCAGCATTTCGGATGCAGCCAGTGAGGCGTGCAGGCCATGCGATGCTGGCTTCTTTTCCGGCGACGCCCTCACTTGTGAACCTTGTCCTGGGGGTAAAGTGTCGAAGTCGGGAAGCAACTCATGCCAGAGCTGCCCAGCAGGCGAGGTGTCCAGTCCAAGAAGTGCGGCGTGCACGCGCTGTGAGGGGGATCTTCTACGAGCTGTTCCGGATTCAATGCAGCAGCAATGCCAAGTTCTTGGTATGGATGTTGTGTTCGCCCTCGTTGGCTTGATCGCGGCAACCTTCTTCTGCTTCTTATGTTTGACTGGGCTCTACTCTTCGATTCCCGTGGAGGACGTATCGGCACAAGGCCAGAAGTGGGTGGTAACCAACTCCCTGGCGCATTTGCTTCTGAAGTGGTCACTTCCGGAGGTTCGGTGTGGGCCAAGATGCCCCTGAACCTTCAACCCTCATTTGTGTCTTGGTCTCTTGCGTTCGGCTTCTCTCTTAAGCAAGATTAGTTTCCTCCTGATATTTAACCCACGGTTTAGTAGTCCACATTTCGCATCCTTCAGAGAGGGCGTAATGTTAGAGGGGGGGATGAAGATACTGGTAACATCTGGTACCCGATGACACTAGTTAAATGCCCGAGTTTCCGTTATTTTTTCTCTTCCCCTAGAAATTAGATTCAGTCATGCCCTATGAACCTTCAACCCTAGATCCTCTGCTTTCACTTCGCCAGGTGAGGTTCAGTGGCACCGGCACTGATGCTTTGGAGGCACGCTGCTTTCGTGTCAAGGCATTGAACTCCACCCAGCTGACGCTGCTCGGTGATGTCACAGAACTGCCCTTGGACACCTCGATGGGACGGTTGCGCCTGAAGCCATTACGGGGTTTTCTGGTGACGGGCTTCTTTCGCTGTCCGCTCCTGTTCTGGTGTTTGTTGTTGTTGGCTGCTGTGGTGGCACTTGCCAGCCAACTGCAATGGTCCTTGCTGTTGCTGGTGTGTGGTGTGGGCCTTTGCGCCGGTGCGTTGGCATTTTCACTGCGGCGCAGGCACGGATCTTGTGCAACTTGTGCCTATCTCTAGATCGCACGAAAATCACACCAATCCCAAGACGCCCAAACATGAACCTCACTGCGGATGTGAGCGGGACCGAGGAGGGGCCGCACCTCCTTAGCAAAGCGGCGCCAGCAATTCTTCAAACAGTGGCCTCCCGTGCTCCATCGCTGCAGTCGCGGGCCAGACCGCTCCGTGGCCGCCGGGCAACTTCAGGATTTCTTGCAGCTGCTTGCCTGATAGCATGGACATTGCGCACGGTTTGGAACAGGTCAGGTACACTCTCTCGCTCTAGCTCTAGCTCTAGCTCTCGCTCTCTCTCCCCCTCTCCCTCTCCCTCTCCCTCTCCCTCTCCCTCCTTATCCACATTGTTGTTTGTATCTTTCTCCTTTTGTCCTCTTTCTCTTTTAGTGTATCGCATCACATCAACAAAGGTCAAATCAACAAAGTATCCAACAAAGGCGTTATTTTGCAAATCTTTTGCAGCAGACTATCAGACACTCCACCAGCACACATCCCACAGCGTCCTCTTCTGAAACTGTAATGGTCTGGTGGACAGATAATCAGCTAGTCAGGTGGAGTGGCGTGGACTTGTACCAAGCTTTCCCTCTATGAAACGGTCTTTGCGCCTGCATACACCGCTTAGGCCCCCCTATTGCTATACACGGAAATATTTGTGGGGTTTTACCATGGGAGCGTGGGCGGCTGGCTGGCCGGCTGGGTTGGGCGTGCGCATGCTTCTCCGACGATAAACTTCAATGTCCGTAAAGGAAACTTTTCTCTTTCATTCCTCCTGGTGACGATTTGCTGTAGCCGCCAACGTTGTAGTTTCTCACGTCGACATTGGGACCAGCAGGTTCTTCGAGACCTTCATCAAGGAACGATCCATGTACTACGTTTGTTCCAACATCGTCAAACCGCTCACGAAGCCTTACCAAGTATCCTTCGCGGAATTGGTGGGTCCCATGGAAATCCGATGGTTTGTGAGTCACTTTTGGGGGATGCCGGCTCGCCATCTCATGGAAGCCATCCGGAAGCATGGCTTGTCGGATCAGGCTGAGCAGTGGCGAGAATCAGGATATTGGATTTGCACTTTCAGTAACAGCCAGTGGCACATTCAGGAAGAGTTGGGGAATGGCTGTTGGGAGCAATCTTCATTTTACATTGCCCTCACAAGTCCTGAGTGCAAGGGAACTGCCATGATTATTGATGAGCTTGTCCATCCACTCCGGCGGATTTGGTGCCTCTTCGAAGTCTATCACACCATTTGCCTATCCCAACGTGGTCGTTCTCAAGGCTTGCTCCTGTGCACCTCCACGGGAGTCTTGCAGGAGGGCAAGGCAAGGTTGGGAGAAGATTGAGCTTCACATTCGCCAAATCTTGGGTCTCTTGTAATTTGCGGGTTTCGATCGCATTGGGGGCAGTAGCTTCCGAGAGATATGCCTTTACCTGTTTAGCAGCAGCTGCTCGACATCTTTGCCGAGGGCCCCTGGATACCGGAAGCCTTTCGGTTCGCAGCACCTGCGGGGATGTTGTGGATGTGGAATTATCCGATCCTGAAACCTGCAGAAGACATGCATGGCACCCCTAGCCATGCAAATTCTGTATACCCCAGAATACACGTTGCACCTTCACAGGTAAAAACAAATGGACCTGTATGTCCCTAAACCCTAAACCCTAAACCCTAAACCCTAAACCCTAAACCCTAAACCCTAAACCCTAAACCCTAAACCCTAAACCCTAAACCCTAAACCCTAAAAACCCTAAACCCTGAACTGACGGAGGCAGGCACCGATGTGGCTGTGGCTGTGGCGCGAACGGCTAAAGATTTGGACACACGCTCGGCCAAGGCCACCTCCGAGGAGGATCGGCTGATGATCCATCGACTCTTTGTGGTACTTTACTGTAACTTTAGATCCTTACCTTTTTTGGGTTTATTGGGTTTCTTATTACGGCAGCTGAAAGTTTAATTTATAGCTACCCTCCTGAGTGCAGCCAAGGACTTGTTGAGCAGATGCCAGGCAAAGCGACATGGATGGGGGTTTCTCGTGTTCAAGGATCTCTTTCTGGGTCTTTAGAGGGATTCTATAGATTCCAGTGTATGGGGGGGCTAAGGGAGGTTAAACCCTAAACCAGAACCAGGTGGACTTAGATTTCTGCAAGATCTGCAAGATCTCTAACCCCTAAATCGCGTGGGAGAGCCACGCCGTGGTGGGGGTGGGGAGGGGGTTTAGGGATGTTTAGGGCTTCGGGAACGTTGTGATCCACCCTGTAGAAAGAGGCTAATATCCCGGGATATGTTTTTTTTAGCAATGGGCAAGCATAAGGGCTTAGGGCTTGTGGGGCGGAGGGTACAAAAGTCAGTTGGGGTAACGATCGTCATACAGAGATAAGCGAAATCACACAGAAAGAGCTTTCGCGTTGGAGTTGTCTGAGATGAGCGGACCGAGGAAGCTCCATTGCACAAGTACCAGTTGTCTTGACCCTCAACTGCAAGCCTTAAACCCAGAAAACCCTGAACCCTGAACCCTACCACCTGCTCTCAGGGGGCTTTGAAGCTATGAACGCTTTCGTCCGGGAGACGATTTACAACGCCCTGGAAGCATCAAACCGGCACTATGAGACGACCTTCAAGGACTTCCTGAAAGCCTCCACCCTCAACCCTAAACCCTGAACATCCCTGAACCCTAAGAAAGCACCATAAACCCTCCACCCTTCTTCCGCACCCCCCCCAACCCTAAACCCTGAGAAAGCCTTCAAGGACTTGGTCGCTGAGTTGACTTCGAGGGTTCCATTGGCTTCCTCAGGGTTGCCGACTTTACCAACACTTCTGACTGGCAGCGCCTGTCATGGGAGCCTCTCCAAAGGAAAAAGCCATGGGCCCACGTAACCAGGTAGTGCAATGCCCAACGCCACATCACCCATGATCGACAAATCGTTGTTTTGCACAGTTAGCTTGATCCGAATGGGTACTACACGCACGCACAAGTTCGGCAGGAGGTGCGATTTTTAGTTTCGAAGACGGGCAACGCAACTGCAGGATGCGGAACCCCAGAACCCAAACGGTTGCTTTGCAAGTTCTTCGCTTTAATAACTATAATTCGATCCGGGATCCGGAACAATGCCGCTCCCACAAGGGGAATGGCCGCTATGGTTACCACGAAGACCAGCATACCTGCAAGATCTGAGCTCAGGCAACGCTGCCGGATGCCAAGCCAGAATCCACAAGGTTGCTTTGCAAGTACTTAGCCTGAGTAATACATGCGATCCGAGACAATGCCGCTCCCGCAAGGGGAATGGTCGTCATGGTTTCCGTGCAGAGTACCTCCGTGCAAGATCCAAGCCCAGGCTATTTCGCTTTAATAATTCATACCTTCCGGAACATTTCCGCTCCCACGAGGGGAAAAGTCGTCATGAGCACCACGAAGACCAGCATGCCTGCAAGATCTAAGCCCAGGCAACGCTGCCGGACGCCAAGCCAGAATCCACAAGGTTGCTTGTCCAGTATTCCACTTTGATAGCTCATACAATCCGGGACAAGGCCGCTCTCACAAGGGGAATGGTCATCGTGGCTGCCGGTATGTGTGCGAGACCGCTCAAGAAAGGCCTGAATATGCAGCGCCGGCACGGGGCCTAAAGAGATACATCACACAGCTCATGAGGACGATAAACAAACGTAACAGGAGCCCCTAGCTTGTAGGGGTTCCTTTTGAATCTTTTATTTCCCTGTACAGCGCACACAGCGTCCACGACTTGCACGAAGAGGCTTGTCTTAAAAGCGATTCGTTGCGATGGTTCCCACGGGTATTGCCAGAGGATACCAGGGCGCACTTTCTGGCAAAGGCTCGGGGCAGCTTGTGTCAGATTCTGACGGCCCCAATGCCCTAAGGCCGAAACCCTAAACCCCCTAAACTCTAGGACCCAGACTGGGTCCTTATTCCCTTATTTCATGGTTGCATCCTAAACCCTAAACCCTAAACGCTAAAACTTTTGGAACAGTTAGTACTCTGCAATCATCAGTAATTGTGCTGCCGGAGCTGCAGGTACAGCTCTCCTGGGCATGGGCGTGGGGCCTTGGAGTTGTGTTTGTTTGGTTTAGGGTTTAGGGTTTGGGGTTTAGGGTTTAGGGCTCCGTGCAAGTACCCATGATAGAGCTTCTTATTTAGCAAGAGCCTTCAAAGGGACCTTTATTTCCTAAACCCTGAGCCTTCAACCCTAAGCCATCTCGCGACTCTGCAGAGCAATGGAGGGCGACGAGCCTAAACCCAACATTAGCGCCCCTAGCACCCTAAACCCTATAAACCAAAAAACCCTGTAAACCCAATAGACCCTATAAACCCGGTACACCAAATAAACCAAATAAACCCTGCACCTTAAACCTTAAACCTGAGCCACCTGGGAACCAACCTCACGCTTCTCTGCAGGGTTCAAAGTGTCCTGAGTTTTCCGCTTCCAGCCCCCCTCCCCCCCCCCTCTCGGACCCTCTGCGTGGACGTGTCGTGATCGCGCGAACGAGTTAACCCTCTGCGTGTTCAAGCAGAGAGAGAAAGAGAGACAGATCAAGAAGCTGTGTCTGGACAGCGCCTGAAGGAGTCGTCAAGGCCTGCGAAGCGCGTCAAGGCTGTCGAAGGGAGAAAACTAAAGCGAGAGAGAGAGGGAGAAAAAGAGAGAGAGAGGGGGTGAGAGGGAGAGAGAGCCACAGAGAGAGAGGGGAAAGAGAGAGGCAGAGAGAGAGAGAGAGAGAGAAAGTGAGACGGTGCATGGGAAAGGTGGCACCGCCGAAACGCCGACAGCGCCGCAAGAGGAAGGCATGGCTGGTGGTGCGTGCGTGCGTGTGCGTCTGCGTGTGTGTGTGTGTGTGTCTGCGTGCGTGAGAGAGAGAGAGAGAGAGAGATAGAAAGACAGAGAGGACGCAAGAGAGACTGTGAGGCGGCTGCGGCGGCAGAGCGGGAGGCAGGTGAGAGAATGGCGGCTGCGACAGATGAGACAGGTGAGAGAGAAAGAGAGAGAGAGAGAGAGAGAGAGAGAGAGAGGTCAACCCGCCAGCGGTGCGAGGACGCGTCCCGGGCTCAGGGGAAGAGAAAGAGAGAGGGAGACAGACAGACAGTGTGTCAGTGTGTGTGTGTGAGTGAGGGCCAGAGAGAGTGTGCTTCCAGGCAAGTCGACGCCCGACTACGGAGTAGGAGCCCAAGGAAAGGGAAGCAGTCGGGGAGCGGGGGGGGGCGGAGGGCAGGCGAGGGGCGGGCGGGTGTGTGTGTGTGTGTGTGTGTGTGTGCTAAGGGAAGGCTTCCGCGACCACATGCCTTTTTACAACTGAGTACATTTTTGAAAACGGGGGGAGGAACCTAAGTGTTCCTCCCCCCTTAGGGGGGTTGAGGGCACTAGAGTTACTTATAAATTGATATAGAGCCTAGTGTATGTTATTGGTTAGTAACTAAGGGTGCGTAGTGTTTATGTTGTTTCTAGCATACGTCGCACTTAGGACTTGTTCATGTACTAGTTCTGTTGTTTGTTGCGCACCCTTAACCCCTCTCACGCATAGAGGCCGGGACAAGCGGTTACGACCAGGAGTTAAGAATGTAGGGTTTAGAATGTTGTGGGGTTTTTGAGTTCATGTTGTTTTAATACGTTGTGGTTTAGACTCCTGGTCGTAACCACTGGCGGGGCGGCCCTTTTGCGACTGAGCGTCGTCGGCTCAGTATGAACAAAAAGGGTGGATCTAGTGAATTGTATTTTCGAATAATATGAGGTTTAAGTAATTTGTATATTGTCTGCTGATATAATTTGATAAGGATGCATGATGGAAGGCTGTATAACTTGACAAGGATGCATGATGAAGATATATTGCCTGCTCTGATCTGATAATTTTGACAAAAAATTAACAGCGATGCATGATGTAGACATTTTTTGGCTCTGATCATTTTGATAATTGTGACAGAGATGCATGAATAAGTACAGTGAGTGTAATATTTTGGTGCTTTAAGTGAATTGTGCTATTTGAACAATATGAGGTTTAAGTAAATTGAATATTGTCTGCTCAAATAATGTTTTTGTCGTCTGCCTGAGGTAAAGAAAGAAACAAGAAATAGTATATATATATATATAGATGCAAGGCAAGGAGCTCACCAGAAGCACAATTGCAATTACTACAAACCTGATGTTCTTGCGAAGGGAAAACAGTGGATGTGATCTGGCATTAAACATTTATAAGTTTGGGGTTTGAGTCAATTTTCTTAAATTCGTCTGAGGGGGACATATGAGTCCACTTTGCAAGGATGTTATGATAAATTTTTGAATATCCATGAGATTATATGATTCGCAAATGATATTGGCAAATTTGTCACAAAATATTATGGGTTCAATTTATATGGAATATTATAAATACATGAAAATCATATGATGGATTAATAGATTTAGTATATATAGTATATAGATAGTATAATATATATATATAGCATAGCATGTATATATATATATATATATATATATATATATATATATAGTATATATATAGATATATATAGTATATATATAGTATATATATAGATATATAGTATATATATATATAGTATATATATATATATATAGTATAATAATAGTATACATAGTGTACATATATATATAATATATATAATATATGTAATAAATATAATATATAATATATATATATATATGTAGTATATATAGTATATATCATATATTATAGTATATAGAGTATATATAGTAATATAGTAATATATATATATAATATAATATATATAGTATACATAGTATACATAGTATATATAGTATATACAGTATATCTACTCTATAAAACGCTACGGTCAAACCAGCCCTATGCGGTGCGTCACGCCTCGGAGCGCCCCAGCCCCAAAATTTTCCGG